TGCTTCTCCCTCTCCCACTCCCCCTGCTTGTGTTCCCTCTCTCGCTGTGTCTCTGTCAAATAAATAAATAAAAAATCTTTAAAAAAAAAAAAGTAGGCGAGAAGGCTTTTGGAGCAAGCCGAGTGGGAAGGACCTCATCCTCGGGAGAAGGGAGGACTTGGCATGTCTTGTCTTTGCTCCAACGCTCTCCCTCTCTCCCTCTCTCTCTGTGCCATTAGCTGCAGATGCCTGCGAGCTGAGTGCCCAGCCCAATGGCGGCTGTGAGTACCTGTGCCTTCCTGCTCCTCAGATCTCCAGCCCCTCTCCCAAGTACACGTGTGCCTGTCCTGACACCATGTGGCTGGGCCCAGACATGAAGAGGTGCTACCGAGGTAGGCAGACCTACCAGGACGCTGGCCCCTGGCAATGTGAGACCCCTCCTGCTAAACTCCTCCCTTGGCTTCTGGAACGCCATATGCTCCCAGTTTTTGTCTGTCTTTTCTGGCTGCTTGTTGCCTCCTTTACTTTCCTTGAATGCTGGTGTCTCCCAGGGTCTTTCCAAGGCTTTCTCTTCTCACTTCCAAGAAAAAAATGCACGTATACATACAACATTTTAAATTCAATTTCATGGGGTTTCTGGAGTCTCTTGAAGACCTGAAATTAAGAATCCTTATCCCTATGGCTTCGGTTACTATTTCTATGCAGGTGACTGTGAGCTTGCCTATTCCTCACCTAGAACTGAACACAAGACATAGAAGCCCTTTCGTGGTATGACTGGGACTAATAGTTAATACTTCAACCGTATAAGTTTATATTCAGTGTCCAGTCTTGATACAGGGCTAAGGCCTTTGGTTTGAGCACAAATTGCTATATAAGATTTATGTATTGTGATTTCCAGGTTCAGTTGTTTAAAGTGGACTGAGAATTTAAATCTAGCAGTGTAACAATATACATGTAAAAACCCTTTTAGACTTACATGATTTCCCCCTCTCCCAGTCTTTTAGGGTGGTCTTGCCCACGCCTAATTCTATAGCCTTGTTTTAATGACTTGTCTTAAATCAATGTGCGGTATGAACACGAAGTGCTTGGGATTCAACTAAAGAAAAGGTCAGAGCCCATTCAGGAGGTTTAGGGAAGGCTTGGCATTTGAGCTGAGCCTTGAGGATAACTTCATGTATAATTCGTAGAGGCAATAAGTTAGGCATAAAGCAAGAGAATTCTCTGTCCGAGTGACCTCCGTGGCATTTCCCCTCCAGCACCTCAATCTACCTCAACTACGACGTTAGCTCCGCCCACAACGAGGACACTAGCCGACACCACGAGAACCCCTGGGACCACTGTCCACAGCCTCACCTACCAGAACCGCAGCACAGAGACACCAAGCCTGGCAGCTGTGGTCCCAAGCTCAGTTGGTGTCCCCAGGGCTCCCAGCATCAAGCCATCTACCCCAAGCCCTGCAACCAGCAACCACTCCCAGCACTGTAAGGAAATGAGTTCTGCGTTCTTTCCTGACATGAGAGGGGCCTTCGGGGAGCCAGGATTGGGGGGGCCGGGGGGGTGGGGCGGGATATGTGGAAGAAGAGATCATACCAGAGCAGAAACTTGGACCTCTCTGAGGAAGCAGGTAGAGGTGCCCACCTATGATTTAGGAGTCTCAGGTGCCCCTACCTTGTAGAGGGTCCTGTGGGAAGCCACCTCCCTATCTCTGAGCCTCAGTTTCTTCACCTACAAAGTGGGAATGATAATTACCCTTCCCCCTCCTGCTTCACGAGATTGCCTGGAGAGACAGAGGAGGTGGTGTAAACAGAAGGGCTCGCATGCAGAGCCTCTGCTGTCCCTGGGCGTGTGCCTGGCTTCACGTGGTACTGACCTGTGGATGTGGGGGTGTCCCTCTGGTCTGGAAACCTCAGAAGCTCTGGTCTCTCTTCTTAGCCCTCTCAGCCAGTTCCCCAGATAGTAATACCGTCACTATGGTCTGCTTGTGCCTCTTTCCAAACCCTGGCATGAAAATAATTATGTTCAGCACTTACGAAGTCATCGGGAACAGTAACTGTCACGGCCAGAAATGTTCTGTCTCATTAGCCAGCAAATACCTTTTTAATTGAGTCACCTGCCAGGGCGAGTTCACTTAAGAAGATAAACCATCTTTAGGGGCGCCTGGGTGGCTCAGTCGTTAAGCGTCTGTCTTCGGCTCAGGTCATGATCCCGGGGTCCTGGGAT